CGTTGAGACGTTCAACTGCTATTACGCTATACTCTCTGAGGTGATACGGGGTGTGTAGCCCTTGGTTGATGTGAAGGGCTTTGACATACCTCTGAAAAGATCTGTTCAGTGAAGTGTGACCCCCTATCGGACTCGATGGTTTCAGGTAGACCCCAGCAGCACACAACCTCAGACAGGATTTTTTTCGCTGTGGTACTAGCGTTGGCACACGTAACGGGCCCACGCCTCAGGCCAGCCTGAAAACATATCTACACAGACCACCAAGGCGTATTCGTACGGCCCACTCTTTGGTAACGAGATGTAATCGATCTGGATGCGTTGGAAGGGGCGCTCAGGTTTTGGTGAGTGCCTTTGGGCCGTTCTACCATTCTGCCAGGGTTGTGTAGGGCACAAACTAGGCAAGAAGCTGCAAATGTAGCTGCAGCAGTACCGAACCCAGAGCAATCCAATGCTCAAAATACATAAAAGGGGGGGTGCAGCGCTAAATTATTGTGCTTAGAGCATATACACACATTCATGCAAGACAATATTAAGGTGCAAATAAAAGTGCAAATCAAAATGTCGCCTATAGGTGACTATAGGTGATTAAACACTAAACCACAACACAGTCTATGGCGTGATCAAGAAAGATCCCAAAAAAGATCTTCAAAAAATCCAATGGCTGGATCCGTGGATGAGGTGATAAATACGTAAAAGATTGCGCACTCACCAGATACGCAATCACAATGCGCATTCAAAGCAGATACTCTCAGGACATCCAGGATCCTTATATGAGTCTGGTCAGATCTGGTCAAGAGCCCCTCGCCACTTGATAGTATTGCAACACATGAAAAAGGCCCGCTCTGCAGATGTGAATGGCTCCCACCGGAGCCCAAAGAACAAAAGGAGGCCAAATAGTGTAAGCTAACCCCCTATGACTACGTGCCTTCGCACGAAATGCATCAGAGAGCGGCTACAGCGGTGTGACGTCACGCCGACCGGCCCCACGAGGGCCCCGGCGGCCATTTGCAAACTTACCCATGCATGGTCAGTATCTTTCCTGCTCCTGCCTGTATTGTATTTTTTGGGAATAAACACCCCTTTGCCATTAAGGTATCACATTATTGTATTGGATGACAATGGAAGACCATTTATACAAGGATTACTAAATGGTAAAAAAGATTACATTTTTAATTGACAGAGGATCTGAGATTAGCCTTACCAGAGAAAACATACCTGTGAAAACCAAATTCACCCATGAGTAAAATAAAAGGTTTTAATAATACAGGTCATTCCACTGCTAGACAGGTGCCTAATGTAAACATTTGAAGTACCTGGGCTAGTGAAAACTAACATTGATATTTGGTATAGTAATGCCACCGAGAATATTCTTGGCATTGATTTTTATCAATAAGCAAAAAATGGATTATTGATATTATGACCAAAGTTATTTGGAGGAATCCATCTAGGCCCAAATCAATGTTAATGGATCCTTCTATGTACAGTGATGTTGGTTTCATTTCTAAAATGTCTACAGCACAAAAATGGCCTGATACTGATGGTAATTGTGCTTTAAAAGAATTGGTACAACGTTTTCCAAGTTTGTGGTCAAAATTTAAAAATGACATAGGAACATTGAAAGATACAGAATTGAATATTGAGGGAAAAGATCCTATACCCCTTAATCAGTATGAGTTACCACAAGAATCAATAGCACCACTTTCTGCCATTATATTCAAGAGTTTGTACAACTTGGCATTTTAAAGAAAACACAATCAGTGGTAAATAACTGTATTTGGCCTATCAAAAATGCTGACAATTCATATTCTTTGTCAGTTGATTTCAGGACACTGAATAAACATATTACAAATAAACAAAGCAGTTGTTCCTAGATCATTCTAATATCAAGTTACATTTAAAGGCCGAATCCAAAGTGTTTTCTGTTTTTGGAAATCGATAACAGTCCATTTTTCGATCCCCTTAGCTAAAAGTTGTCAATACAAGCTAGCTTTCAAGTTTCAAAAAGAGACTTATGCATTCACTCGATTAGTAGCTGATTTAGATATCAGTGATGGTATAGTTCATGATTCCATAGCAAAAATTCTATCACAATTTTCAAGGCCAGAATGCATTTTTCAGCATGTAAATACAATTATGCTAAATACGCAGAATGTTAACGAACATATTACTCTTTTGTCTGAGTTATTTATGTTGTTACAGGATGCAGGCCTAAAATTAAACCCGGAAAGAGTTCAGCTGATGAAAAGTCAGGTGAAATGCTTTCACATGCAGATTAGTCAAGGAAAGAGACAATTATTACAAGAAACAGTCAGAGCTATCACTGCCTTTCCAGTTCCTACAACTCATAAAGCATTGCAACAATTTTTGAAAAACATAAACCATTGTAAAGAGTTTATACATGGTTTCGCAGAGAAAGTTAAGCCATTACATCATCTTTTTGAAGAGTAAAAATAACTTAGTTGACCAATGGGGTCCAAATGAGAATAATGCTTTAAAAGTGTTTGAAAAAGGATTTGCAGAATGCGCCAGCATTAGGTACAGTTGAGGTTTGTTTCCAATGCTCCTTTTGTTGTGAAAACTCATGCATCTGATAATGCTATTTCAGTAACTTTGTCTCAATTAAAAGAAGGTAATGAGAGACTAATTAGTTACTTCTCCAGAAATGTATCACCATTGGAAAGAACTTTTACATCAGAGGTACAACAACTGTTGAGTTTCTTTTTATGCAATCAAAGCTTCAGAAAGCATAGTAAAGTCACATAGTATCATATTACAGTCTCCTGACAGTTCACTAAGAAGAATTCTTGAGGAAGATACATTCAGAGAATGTCGTGAAAGGTATCCTCAGTGGATAAGAGCACTGTTAGCCAAACACATTGTGATAGGTACAGCTGTATCAGACAAGTCTCTACCTCACATTCACAGCAACACATGTATTACTGAAAAACACTCTAACACCAGAATAATGACATCAGCACAGAAAACAGTTACGCATATTTCTCTAAAATTATAGGGATGAGAACAAAGGCATAATCCTTTGTCATCTCTGGAGTGATACAAAACCTTTCTTTGTTTAGTAAAATGGGGTTTTTGCGGTCATGACCTATGATGAAATATTGCGTCCTGTCATACCTAAATATCACACTACTTTTGTATTCTAGTTTAGGTAATTTTAGACAGGATTAGGACAGTATTTTGATTGATATATAGAAGTTTCTGTAAAAGGTAATAGGAAGTAATGTTACTTCACAATATGTGTTCCAAACTCATAAACTGATTGTTCCATAATCTTTCATATTTGTTGAAAAAGGTGCAAGAATAATGTAATGTTTGTGCCAAAGTAATGATACTGCATTTCTTTACAGAAATGACGTCTAAAAGGTAACAATCTCCTACAAGCCAACGTGAAGGAATTTGGACGTTAAAGAAGAGATCTTCATATGGGAATAAGATTGAACAAGAGCTTAATACTTCACACTTGTGACTGATTTTATCACGTTCAACAAAAATGTTTCTACTTTACAGAACTTAAAGAAGATATTGTATAGACATTGCATGAAGAAAAAGATTCAAGAGGAAATCTATTTATTAGTGATAAAATAATTTATTATTGAAAATATTGTTATAGGTCACATATACATTTTAATGCTTTTATTCCGATACTTACATCCATATTGGGATAATATTATTATTATTATTTTTTATTTTTTTACATATTCATATACGGAATATTTTTTGGTCAAAACTTCATAGAGTTATTCCAGTTAATAGAATATCTTTTGTTAAAAAGGTTAAGAAAACATATTACTCTTATAGGAGCAATAGAAACTTATGACACATTTTAGAATGGAAAGTATATTTCCGGAGAGTTAAAATATTATACAAATATGGAAATATACTACATTAATTATTATTACATCATTTAATTATTATTATTATTATTATTATTACTATTAATCATATATCAATTAACATTCTGGTTAAGAATTTTTTAGGAAGAGAAACTGAAGATAAGGTATAGAGTTTTGAAGGAAAGTTATTTTTGATTGGTCCAGTTATGAGGAATATGTACGATCATTTGGTATAAGACTGTGTGTATGGGACATGAATAAAGTGTGCATTGATTGAACATTAACTATAGACTAATCATAATAAGGGGGATTTGTTAAATAAATCTAAATTATGATTCGGCCACTTATATTGATGGCAAGCTTGCAAAAAATATTTGGTTTTTATGATTAGTCATAATTAATATTAATATGTGTGAATGGTCTTTTGACAAATGGTAGTATTACAATTCTTCAATTATAGCTGAGACCAAAAGATATACAAGTTAAGCTGAGACAGTAAATATGGGTAAGTTAGCTGAGACAGCTATACCAGCTGAAGCACTGAGTATACTATATTTAGGCTGGTAGTATATGTCAAGGTTATTAGAAGTGACTTACTATTACTAGAGATGAGCGAATCGAACTAGGCGAACCGGAATTCGAGTCGAATTTCAGGAAATATTCGATTCGTGTCGAAACCGAAATTTTGCCTACTTCGGGTGTGCGCGAATCGAACATTTCCCGATCAGCCGGCAAAAGTGTCCCTGCAGTGAGCTCCGTTGGAATTATTCTTCTTTTCATCCTACTTCTTCTTCTTCTTCATCCTCATCCTCAGAAGAAGAGGATCTTCTTCTGAGGATGAGGATGAAGAAGAAGAAGAAGAAGAAAGAAGAAGAAGAAGTAGGATGAAAAGAAAGAATAATTCCAAGCCGGCAAAAAGTGTATGTGCAGAGTTCCTCTATTCTGCAGATACACTTAGAGGAGCTCTGCTGATACACTTAGAGGAGCTCTGCACATACACTTTTTGCCGGCTTGGAATTAATCTTATTTTCATCCTACTTCTTCTTCTTCTTCTTTCTTATGTGCAGAGCTCCTCTAAGTGTATCTGCAGAGCTCCTCTAAGTGTATCTGCAGAATAGAGGAACTCTGCACATACACTTTTTGCCGGAAACCGCTGTATGGAGTGAATGTCCCAGAACTGTCAGAAATAGACTATTTATGACAGTTCTGGGACATTCACTGCATACAGCTGTTTTAACCGCTGTATGGAGGGAATGTCATGGAACTGTCAGAAATAGACTATTAATGACAGTTCTGGGACTGTCCTTCCATGCAGCGGTTGAAACATTGTATGTATTTGTTTCCATAAATGGATCCATTTATGGAAACAAATACATACAATTTCAAAACCGCTGTATGGAAGGACAGTCCCACAACTGTCATTAATAGTCTATTTCTGACAGTTCCATGACATTCCCTCCATACAGCGGTTTAAAACAGCTGTATGGAGTGAATGTCCCAGATCTGTCACAGACAGAAACTGTCACAGAACTGTCCTTCTTCTCATCCTTCTCCTTCTTCTCATCCTTCTTCTCATCCTTCTTTCTCATCCTTCTCCTTCTTCTCATCCTTCTCCTTCTTCTCATCCTTCTCCTTCTCTCATCCTTCCTTCATCCTTCTTCTCCTTCTTCTCATCCTCCTTCATCCTTCTCCTTCTCCTTCTTCTCATCCTTCTCCTTCTCTCATCCTTCTCCTTCTTCTCATCCTTCTCCTTCTTCTCCTCCTTCTCCTTCTTCTCATCCTTCTCCTTCTTCCATCCTTCTCCTTCTTCTCCTCCTTCTCCTTCTTCCTCATCCTTCTCCTTCTTCTCATCCTTCTCCTTCTTCTCATTCTTCTTCTTCTCCTTCTCTTCTTCTTCTCATCCTTCTCCTTCTCCTTCTTCTCATCCTTCTCCTTCTTCTCATTTCTTCTCCTTCTTCTCATCCTTTCCTTCTTCTCCTTCTTCTCATCCTTCTCCTTCTCCTTCTTCTCATCCTTCTCCTTCTTCTCTCCTTCTCCTCTTCTTCTCATCCTTCTCCTTCTTCTTCTCTCCTCCCTTCTTTCTTCTCATCCTTCTCCTTCTTCTCATCCTTCTCCTTCTTCTCATCCTTCTCCTTCTTCTCATCCTTCTCCTTCTTCTCATCCTTCTCCTTCTTCTTCATCCTTCTCCTTCTTCTCATCCTTCATCCTTCTCCTTCTTCTCATCCTTCTCCTTCTTCTCATCTTCTTCTCCTTCTCCTTCTTCTCATCCTTCTCCTTCTTCTTCTCCTTATCCTTCTTCTTCTTCTCATCCTTCTCCTTCTTCTCATCCTTCTCCTTCTTCTCATCCTTCTCCTTCTTCTCATCTTCTCCTTCTTCTCATCTTCTTCTCCTTCTCTTCTTCATCCTTCTCCTTCTTCTCATTCTTTTCCTTCCTTCCTTCTCCTTCTCTCATCCTTCTCCTTCTTCCTTCTTCTCATTTCTTCTTCTTCTTCTCCTTCTTCTCATTCTTCTTCTTCTCATCCTTCTCCTTCTCCTTCTTCTCATCCTTCTTCTTCTCATCTTCTCTTCTTCTCATCCTTCTCCTTCTTCTCATCCTTCTTCCTTCCTCATCCTCCTTCTCCTTCTTCTCATCCTTCTCCTTCTTCTCATCCTTCTCCTTCTTCTCATCCTTCTCCTTCTCCTTCTTCTCATCCTTCTTCTTCTCATCCTTCTCCTTCTTCTCATCCTTCTCCTTCTCCTTCTTCTCATCCTTCTTCCTTTCCTTCTTCTCATCCTTCTCTTCTTCTTCTCCTTCTCTTCCCTTCTTCTCATCCTTCTCCTTCTTCTCATCCTTCTCCTTCTTCTCATCCTTCTTCTCTTCTCCTTCTTCTTCTCATCCTTCTCCTTCTCCTTCTCATCCTTCTCCTTCTTCTCATCCTTCTCCTTCTCCTTCTTCTTCATCCTTCTTTCTTCTCATCCTTCTCCTTCTCCTTCTTCTCATCCTTCTCCTTCTTCTCATCCTTCTCCTTTTTCATCCTTCTCCTTCTCCTTCCTTCTTCTCATCCTTCTCCTTCTTCTCATCCTTCTCCTTCTTCTCATCCTTCTTCTTCTCTTCTCATCCTTCTTCTTCTTCTTTTCATCCTTCTTCTTCTTCTCCTTCTTCTTCTCATCCTTCTCCTTCTCCTTCTTCTCATTCTTCTTCTTCTCATCCTCTCCTTCTTTCATCCTTCTCCTTCTCCTTCTTCTCATCCTTCTCCTTCTTTCTTCTCATCCTTCTCCTTCTTCTTCCTTCCTTCTCTCTTCTTCTCATCCTTCTCCTTCTTCTCATCCTTCTCCTTCCTTCTCATCCTTCTCCTTCTTCTCTTCTTCTCATCCTTCTCCTTCTTCTTCTTCTCATCCTTCTCCTTCTCCTTCTCCTTCTTCTCATCCTTCTCCTTCTCCTTCTCCTTCTTCTCATCCTTCTCCTTCTTCTCATCCTTCTCCTTCTTCTTCCTTCTCCTTCTTCTCATCCTTCTCCTTCTTCTCATTCCTTCTCCTTCTTCTCATCCTTCTCCTTCTTCTCATCCTTCTCCTTCTTCTCATCCTTCTCCTTCTTCTCATCCTTCTCCTTCTTCTCATCCTTCTCCTTCTTCTCATCCTTACTCCTTCTTCATCCTTCTCCTTCTCATCCTTCTCCTTCTCCTTCTTCTCATCCTTCTCCTTCTTCTCATCTTCTCCTTCTTCTCATCCTTCTCCTTCTTCTCATCCTTCTCCTTCTTCTCATCCTTCTCCTTCTTCTCATCCTTCTCCTTCTTCTCATATCCTTCTCCTTCTTCTCATCCTTCTCCTTCTTCTCATCCTTCTCCTTCTTCTCATCCTTCTCATTCTTCTCCATCTTCTCCTTCTTCTCATCCTTCTCCTTCTTCTCATCCTTCTCCTCCTTCTCCTTCTTCTCCTTCTTCTCTTCCTTCTCATCCTTCTCCTTCTTCTCCTTCTTCTTCCTCCTTCTCCTTCTTCTCATCCTTCTCCTTCTCCTTCTTCTCATCCTTCTCCTTCTCCTTCTTCTCCTCATCCTTCTCCTTCTCCTTCTCCTTCCTCATCTCCAAGGGCATTTATAATTAAAGGTACAGTGTTCTGCACTAATTTAAAGGCTCTCTGAAGCCTAGAAACCTTTAAATAAGTCATCTTCGTAGCGGAGAAATTCGCATCGAATCGAATTTCACACTGGAATTCGCCGAATCGAATTTTTCATTTCTTTCGCTCATCTCAACTATTCGCTCATCTCTAACTATTACATTACGTATTTTAATAGTATCTGTGTGTATTTAGTATACGTTTTCTAACATTGATACATATATAGTTTAGTAATTATACATTGATATGTTCTTAAGCTATATTATTCTTTAAATATATAGCTGAGGGTTATAATATTATTTACATCAGCATACATATGTTCCTGTCCATGAAACATCATATGTATAGCATCCCTCCTTTTATGAAATGGCTTTGCTAAGCAGTGATAATTTCCATAGAAGGTATTAAGATCACTAACTATGACGTAAATTTGCCTCATAAAAGACCATGAGACAACGGACAAGGAGACACTCTCACACTTACACGCTAACACGACACTCTTGCATACACACGTCTGAGAAGCTGCAACAGGTGCATGCTACAAGATCATCATTCCTGTCTATTTCCGGCTACTTTCAAGAACATGAAGGACAGAACAGCACATGACCCGGACTTCTATGACAAATAATGGTGACTTTATCTTAAACTTTTGCTTGTTATTTTTACAGTAGTTTTATCTACATGGAACTGTTCATAATACGCTTTACATTGTTATTTTACACCATTGTGTGATAGAATAAAATCACACTTCATTTTTTATTTCAATGGATCTTTCATTCACAATCGCCTCAAGACACTAGAAGAAGTATATTATGTGTCTAAAAATCCAACAAATGCTCACAGGCAACTTTAGACCTTCTTTGATCTTCCTGGAGCTGATTGTTGGCTCAGTCTTTTGCCATTTTGGCTATTCTTCTATCCAGTTTTTCGCTTTCTTCCACGTCTTTCAGGTTTTGGTTGCCATTTTAAAGCATTTTGCGATCATTTTAGCTGAGCAGCCTATCATTTTTCTGCACTTCTTTATATGTTTTCCCCTCTCTCCAATCTACGCTGTTCTTCTGAACAATTTCTGGAACGACCCATTTTCCTTAGAATTTCAGAGAGAAATGCACTGTAAGCAGCATCTACAACATTTGCTGCCTTCCTTCCTTAAATAAGGGCAATAATTGCTACCTGTTTTTCAAAGAATGAATGACCTCACTAATAGAACTCCACACTGCTATTATTTTTGAACATGCCCCTTTCAATTAGTGATTCAATTACACAGAATCAGCAGTATGCGTGTCATGACTGTTGGGTCTGTTGGATTTCTATTACTCTACTACACCTGCTAGTAAATTATTTGCCATGTAGAAATATCATTTATACCAAAAACAGTGATTGATCAGGTTAGTGATGTCTGACTGCTATTATTTTGAACACAACTGTATATCCCATGTGGAGGAAAAGGTGTGACCAGTGCCTAACCCCCTGTATACTGCTAGAGATATATCACTGCCACCAGATTATCTTAGAAACACTGCAACCTTGGTGGCAGGTAAATCCCATCCATGACTCAGCTACCAACACAAGTGTTCTAGAGAGGGCATCTGCATTTGTTTTAATACAACCTGCCCAGTGCTCCACTTTAAAGGATAAGTCCACCTTCTGGAACATGCTACATGTTCCACCCAGCTGCTGCAGCCTCTCTTCTCCTCACAGTGACAGTGAGCGGGGATCTTCTCTCCGCACTTGCTGTCACCATTTATGCCACCAGTGTCCTGTGAATGACTTGAACTACAAGTACCAACAGCCGGCTGAAGGCTTCCAGTTCTGAATGGACTGCGGGGTCGCTGATGAGCAGCCCCGTAGCTCATTAACAAGACCTGCAGCTTGTAAACAGAAAGGGACCCAAAGGGGGTGCCAGACTAAGTGTAGCAATATGGAGTAATGTATTCATTAAAAGCTAATTGGCAACTTACATTTAAAAGAAGCAAACAGGCGTATCTGTATGTAATATGGCTGCGGTGGCTGGCTCTCCCAAAGTCTTCTGCTGGGACCTGGGATGTATGATGCTCCTACCACTGGCAGGCCCAGGGATGGATGGCAGAGTGTGACAGGAGTCACTTTGGGTGGGGGCCTCCTGGAACCCAGCTTACTTTGCAGAGGTTGGGAGACCCCTGTCTCAGCTCCCCATACCCTTCTTATGTGCAAGTCACCCTGTATCTCTTAGGGGCACAGGGTGACTAATGGATGCTGAGAATGCGGTTGGAATTACTTCAGATGGGACAGTATTATTTATCAGCCATATGAAGACTATTCCTGGTTGTTGATTCTGAACTAGACATGTGAATTGAAAGAACTGATCACGCCGGACTCTCCTCTACTCCAGTGTGTAGGAGCTGGACCCTCTGCTTTGTAGTGAGATCCTAATTCATCAAACCATTGTCTAGGTGTGAATTCCCATTCACCTTTTGTTTTGATCACCCAGCTAGCTAACCTAATTAACTTACTGTTTAGAGTGTTAAGTCTATTTCTGTATATAGCTGCGTTTGCATATGATCATGTG